CATCCCCCTCGCCCTCCTGCGCCGCCCCGACCCCATCCACTTTTTCGACGAGGTCGTCCTGTATGAGGATGAGCTGGCCGACAACGGCATCGCCATGCTGTCCTGCAAGATCCGCGTCATGCCCGCCCGCCTGCTGCTGCTCGTGCGCTTCTTCATGCGCCTCGACGGCGTCGTCTTCCGCATACGCGACACCCGCGTCTTCATCGAGTTCGCCACCGGCGAGGTCATCCGCGAATATACGGCTAGGGAGGAGAAGTACGAGGAGGTCCGCCGGAAGCTGGCAGGCCGCAAGGAGGACGTCCTCGCCGTCATGCGCGACCCGAATCGCCTGGCCGAGCACATTCCCATCGTCGAGCAGACACTAGAAGGCGTCACGCTGCGGTGAGATACCGTAGTCAGGGGACATACAAGAGGAATTCTGCCGCGTAAAGACAATGCGCCCTACGTCTGACGAGACGAGCAACACGTAAGCCCAGCTGTCCGTCAGCCTTCGCCTGTTGCTGACACGTGGTAGACGAAGCATGCGCAGTCATGCATCACCGTCGCTCAATTCACACCACCTGTTTGCACAAGCAAAACACCACCCGTCACCTCTGCATACCGCCACATGCAGCATCCTCCGTGCAAGTTATGAGCAAAGCACCCCGCCCACAGCCACAACATATGACGCTCTAGTTCCACTCTGTCAGGCCATTACAACCCAATGTCCTGCAGACGGAAGGCTTCGTATTCTCGAGGCTCGCGTGGTGGACATGGCGGGAGTAGTCTAGAAGTAGCCAAAAGCACAGAGGAGTGTAGTATAGTGTAGCACAACAGAAGCACATTCCAAAAAGTGTAATCTGAGACAGAATCTACAAAACCAAAATGTTATACACCTCCAAACCACCCTCCCCTTCCAATCCCACTCCAACAACCCCACTCGCAAACCCCCAGCCAGCATGCATTCTCCAGGCAAACATGAAAAAAACAGCGCAAGCCACGCATCCTCTCACCGCGCATAGCAGAGCCAGATGCGAGCAAAAAGTAAAAAAGAGATGATTCGACCCAGACTTGAACTGGAGACCTTCAGTGGACCTAACAGCTTAGTGTTAGACTGACGTGATAACCAACTACACCATCGAACCGATTTATAAAAATATTCGCAATAGAAAAATATATATAGTTAATTTGTAACATCTAGAAAAGAAAGGCGGGCTGGGTGGTGTGGCATCAGATGTCGTTGGATTCAGTATCATGTGGACGGCGTGTTGAGATGGAAGGGCTTGGTGGGATGCTAGTGTTTTCTTTCTGCGTTGTGGATTGGGTTGGTATATCTCGCTCTATTCTGATCTTCAAGCTGTTCCCATTCTTCTCTTTTAGTCGGGCATTCTTATTTCTCCCTTCCTTAATCCCCCTTCATTAATCCCCCTTCATTAACCCCTTCCTTAGTACCCCTTCCTTAGTACCCCTCCCATCAC